GGAGACAAGGTTTGGCCGTCCTTTCTTTCCCAAGTATGTAGGCTCAACCTCTTTAATGTAAAAACAACTTCAAACTGTTAAAGAAGTAGCTACTACCAAACATGTTTCCTCTAAGACAGTGAAGAAGAAACAGAAAAACACAATTGTCAGGGCTGGCTCCCAGCGATGGGTGGAAGATACCCTTGTTGCTGAAAAGGTCTTAGAAGTAGAGGAGGATAGCTCTAAGTTAAAAAAATGAAAGAGAAAAAAGCATATTAACCCTTCGCTTACCTTGGCCGACCAATCTAGGAGTGTACACGACAAAACTCTTATCTTGCGGAACAGAGACAAGGGATGGGGCAACTGTTATGAGACATATGCAAGGGCCAAGATGAAAGGTGCAATGACAAGACTGAAGAAAGTGAACGAGAGAAACATGTGTTCTCTCGTTCTCACCTGTGATACGGTGGCAGAACCGACTGTTATACTGGTTTGCGTTTTTTGTTCGCAAATGTGCGGTAAGCAAGAGTCGCCACCGACTTTTATTTCATCCAACAAAGGAAAAGGAAAAAGAACAGAAAAAACCTTTTTCGAGAGTTTTCTGAGTACGAGGGGTAGATTATATAAAGGGAAGGTGTTAGCACCCTTTCTATCCATGGTTTTCCACGGGCTCTTAGGTACTTGCTCATTTTTAAATTGCTTTTGTGTGTTTGTATGCTTGAAAAAGTTTTGAAATTTGCCTTAGTGCGGCATTTCATTTTATGGTAACCCTTGTATCAATCCTCAAGAGTGTGATAAAGCGTTTTGAAAACTTTTGTTTGAAAAGTATATTTGAAAGTGTGGTGTGAAAATTTATTTGAGCAAGTACCTAACAGTTATCTACCTACTCGAAAAAGTCTGTTCGTTTTCTTATTTCCTTTAGACGGTGTTATCCTACTATTAAAGAGTAGGTAGCTCCATCGTTGGAGTTTAAGGGACAATTGAAAGGGACGAAAAGGACAAATACGATCACTAAAGCAATGGTTAGGAAACCTTAGTAACTACCCTAAAGTCCTAAAGATCTTTCTGAGGAAACATTCGAATGGGTCATTTTGATCTTTTGGGACTAGAGGACAACCACTAAGACTCCCTATACTTCATGATCGTTTACCGAAGGCAACCGAAGTGGGGCAAACCCTATGAGTGAGCATGTACAAGTGTTTATTTTTCAGTTTACTTATCTTTGCACAATTAGGGTTTTCTACTGTTTTAATTTCATTTGTCTTTTGCATGCAATCCTATTATCAATCATCTAGCAATTAATAGTTGCGGAAATTAAAAACGGAAAAGTAAATCTACGTTATTACAAAGCTTTGGGGAGGGGATTACATAACCAAAATGGGCGTAAACAGTAAATAAAGGCAGTAAATAAAATCCTAGTTAAAACTATTACAATCTCAAAACAATTACAATAATTAAGAAATAAGGGAAAAAAGACTACGCGCGACAGAATTAAATACGAGGAATAAAATTGAAATTCTAAAAGAAATCTAATTAGTTAAAGAAAAATATTTTTGTATTTTTATTTGAATGAAAAGTGATTAAATTATGATTTAACCTAATTTCTAATTGATTTTAATTATGAAAAAGAGATTAAATTACCCTAATTAAATTACCCTAATTAATTAATGAAATTAAATATTTTATGAAAAAAACCTAATTCTAATATTTGTGTTTTTATGATTTAATTAAAAATAATGATTTTTTGTGAAATAATTAAAGTGAAATAACTAAATAGAAGAAATTAAAAGAATTAAAATGGGCCTGGTATGAAATAGAAAACTGGGGGTTTGTTGCTGAATTTTCCAAGCCCAATTTGTTGATGGCCCAATTGTCCAGCGCGCGATTCAATGAAGTCTGGCTTTGAGGGTCCACCATGAGGGTGAATTGTTGGGCGCTGGATCTGGATCTTAGATGATCCCATGGTTGGATCTAAGGACGCATGATGGTCTTGTGAAGGTGAGGCGCATGAGATCCTGCAAAGTATGTTAGGAAAATAAAATAACAACATGCATGGACCTGGGATCGAACCCAAGTCCATTTTCTCTCACCAGCGCTGCCTTTTACCATTTGTGCTACATGACTCATTCGTTAACATAATAAACAAATAACAACATAACGTAAATAAGGTGGCATGTCCAGAAAAACGCGCCAACATTCAAACCGGCCAGTGGGAGTCAGTCACATCACTCATATTCTCCCCAGAACTGTCGTTTTTTACCACACTTTTACCTACGGGCTGCATCCGTTACTATAGCTTATGCAACGAATCAAGCGTCACTAAAGCCCCTACAAAAATCAAAATTCTCAAAATATGCAATATAAATTAATGGTGAGGCTATGAATCAACTCGTTTTGGTCTCATAAACACGATGATGGCATTGGTTTGTCCCAAATTATGTCTAAATCAGAAAGCCCTGATTTGAAGCTTGTAACCCTAGCAATGGTATCCTTTCATTTCGGCATTTAAAACTCAACCAAACAAATCAGAAAGCATCGAAACCTTTTGATAAACAAAAATGCATGGTCAAATTTCATTGAAAACGCATGTATGCATGTAATCGAAAATCAAAAAAAGTTGGAGAACCGAGTTATGGATTTTACGATTCTGAATATTGTGGTCACTTGTGAAGGTCTGGAATTTATCAGAGGAACTCACTGAAGTTGTTTGTGATCTTGGAATGGCTTGAATCAACCTGTGGAGGAATATGTGATCAGCACTTTTTTGACAAAAATTTGAAGTTGATTCTTGCTGTATGAGGGAGATGCGCAGCTTCTTGCGTCCTTTTCTAGGGTTGCAATGATCTTGTATAAGTAGTAGAATCAAGAATAGGTCAATGGTTTTGGAAAGAATCAAATATATGATGGCCATGAATTTTGATTCCAATCTTTCCACATTTGGAGATTTTATCTTGTTTTTCAATCTTGCACGATTTGTTTAGCTTTGTGACAGCAAGCATGATCTCTAATTCAATGCAAAACAAATCGCATCCCTTTGATTTTATTTATTTTGATTATATTTGATTATATTTGAATTTTAAATAAATAAATAAGGCATGGAATGGTTTATGGGTCGTGGACCACGTTAGGAATGAGATTCAATCTTGAAAAGATGGGCCCATGTGAAAAAAATCCAAATTTGAACATTGTTGACTTTGTGCAAATTTTCAAAAATGGCCAATTTTGACAATGCATGTCTCTCTCAATTTTGACCCTAAGAGGGTGTTCTTGGACTTTTTAAAAAGCTTAGGATGTCCTCTAAACAACCCTTTTGTTTTAATCTCAATTGGATCTTCCATGTTCATGTAAGAAGCTTTGACCCAAAAGGCATTTTTGTTGACTTTTGAAAAGGACCTATAATGTCTGAATTTATATCTTTTCATGAATGCATTTCTTGAACTTGAGGGATGAAGATGAGTTGTAGAGAATTGGATTCTCTTCAAAATAAGCCTTGGATGAGAAATTTCTGATAAAGTATGAGAAAGTTATGCCTGATCAAAGTTTGGTTGACTTTTCCTATAGAAACCCTAATTTAGCATTTTTTATTTTTGATGAATTTGGGGTATTCCTTGAGGAATCATGATCAACCCTTGATCAAATGATGGATATTACTTCAAAATGTTGATGTTGACCAAAAATCTTGAAGTTTGACTGTATGTGGGCCACAGTTGACTTTTGACCTAGCACAATTAATTTTCAGGCATCTGAGCAGTTGACTGAGCAAACTTATAGTGCAAGGCATGAAACTTGGCATGAGTGATCTTGAGAACATATTAGGGAAATGGAAGTCATTTAGGACCCTTGGAACCCAAACATCTTGATGAGGAGTGAAACTCTAGTTTGAGGCTCATTGTCTTAGGAGGAGGACTTGTTTGGTCAATCATTGGTCCACTTGAGCAATTGAGGACCTCTGGGAATATGTTTTGAATAAAAATGAGAGGACAAATTTTGGGGTACAACATCAACCAAAGTAGATAACTCCACCCTTGATGTATTATCCATCGTCCAAATCAATCAGGTGCTCTCTCGTTCTCACTCAAAGTAGATAACTCCACCCTTCATACATCACCCATCGTCCAAATCAATCAGACGATTGTCCACACTCCGCATTGCGTCCCTCGCATGCGGTTTTAACCGCTCCAATGTATAAAGAAAAAAACATATATTCTCAAGTATTCAAATTCATTCTCATTTTTATATTACTTTAATTATATCACTAACTTAGACGTTTGAGTACTAACCTTGCTAAAATCCAATGCACCTTTTCACAATTCATCTCACATTTTCAACAATTTTGGTTCTCCAAAAGAAAAACAGTTATCCTTTTAAATTTAGAATCCTAATTTTAAATATTTTATGTTTATCTTACATCAATTTTGGTTCTGACAAAGCAACTCCAAATTTCATACTTTGTGAGTAAAAGAAAATTGTCTACATGGCAATAACAACTTCTATATTTCACATTGAAACATTTTTGGTACTGATATTTTGCTGCAAACAAACACTGCTCCAAACTCATGCTTAATGTTTTAAAACAAATTGAGAAATGCTACAAAGATGGGGACCATTGTTTGGGTAAAAATGTTACCATGATAAAATATACTACTAACTCCCAATAAAGGAAATTCAACCTTTTTTTTGTGTGTAAGTTCTTGGCTAACTCCAAACTACAATATGCAACAGATGAATGACAGAGACATGTAACAAAACTTTTTAAAAACTGCCACATAAACTGTAAAAGTTACATTCCATATTAAGTTGTAAATATTTTTGTTTTCATCACACAAAACCACACACATATATATATATATAATGCAATTCACAATATTTCACACACTAATCCTTCACAACAAGATATATAAGAATCTTTCACACACTAACATGTCTTAGTATTTTATAAATTGTCACAATAATACTTAACAAATCACATAAGTATTTTCACACCATAGATGGATAGAGTGTGTGACCATTATTGATAGTTCCTAGTTCCTGCTTTTACTTTTTTCAACTGCTCTAGGGGCTGCAAAATAGTTTATCAAGTGAAAAAAATATCATTTAGATTATTAAGCATGCAATTATGATTTTATGATTGAGAATGTTGAATGAATGAAATACTAACCTAGACCAATCGCTTCGGAGCTTTTCATTATCCTTAGTCTCCTGCATGTATCAATAAACATCCTGCAAAGAGTTCCGATGATGAAATGTTACTTGTATTGAAGAGTTCGGATAATGAAATGTTATTGGTGTTAAGGTATTAGTGTTGTGTTCGTGTTTGTGAAAGAGCTTATTAGTTGCGTAAAAAGAAAAACTATTGGTCTTGAGGTATCAGTGTTGTGTCTGTGTTTGTGTCAGAGCTTATTAATTTCGTAAAAGAAAATCTACTGGTATTCAGGTATCAGTGTCGTGTATGTGTCTGTGTGAGGGCTTATTAAACGAGTAAAAGAAAAACTACTGGTGTGAGGTATCAATGTCGTGTTCGTGTCTGTGTTGGTGTTGAGGTATCAGTGTCATGTTTGTTTCTGTGTCAGAGCTTATTAATCGTGTAAAAGAAAAAACAAGTACGTAAACTTACTCCCAAGGAACATCACCGACAAGCATCCAGTCACCATCTTTATCCTCATAAGTAATAACATATTCTGACCCATGAAGCAGATCTCTCAGCTTTGTTTCATTCAGCATCTGATTTCCATGAGATTCACATTGTCCTGAAATAACATCAACAACATAAGCAGTAACTTGATCCAGACACAAAAATTGCCTCAAATCATTGAAAGAATGTTTTTTTTTCTTCGAAAAAAATGAACCTATTCCTACCTACCTATGGTGAAACAGCTGAACATCTTCTCAAGAGAAGAAGATAGTTCTGAATATGCAGTGTAATTCTGCAAATCAACTTTTCTCAAATAAGGAGCACCATCCATGCTAACTTTCACGAAGACGGCACCTCCTAATCCCAATTTTCCACCAACCTCTTCGGTGTTCTTTGATGCAGTTGTCAATGAATTTTTCCGAAATGATCTTATTGGAGGCCAACCAACAACCTGTGCCCTGCCACACAAGATCCACCAATATCATTCAGAGTTCATTTCTAATGTTAAAGGCTAAACCAAAGTTTTATATAAAAGTTCATAACCGCGATTTGGGCCGCGACATCGTAGTTTTTGATGTTGTCATCAGGGCCAGCTTTGAGGGCGTGCCAGACAGGTTACCAGACAGGGCTCAAAATTTAATACAGTTAAATTGTGGCTATAAAAGGATCTCATAAATTATTTGTCACGATTAAACTATGACAAAATAGTGTCTCTATTTTTTCTGCCACAGCTAAATCATGACAAACTTACACAAGGCCTCCGAAAACTAAAGACAGCTATGGTCGTCACAACTGTAATTCAGCTGTAATTCAGACTGCATCAACTGTATTGACCGTGTACAAAACTTATCTATGTTTTAGGTGTATACATATTAGTCGAAACAAACGTTTTTTATGTTGCCGCAATTGTAATGCCAATGCAACTGCGATACGGGATGCATCAGCTGGCTGCATTTAACCACGATTCTTCATACCATCAAAAAACACAATGTGACCTAAACTAAAAACCTTGGCTCAAATTCTAATGCCAATTCCTACCACTTTACTTACTTGGTAGCTGGAGCAATGTTATTTCCATTACTTGGAGAACCATTAAGATTTGGTCTGCTTTCACCGACACCGTTTGGCCTCTCAAAACCAACCTTAACTGTTGCTATTTCATTCCCTTTGCCTTGCAGCGCCGCAACATTCTCAAGCATATTCGAGCCAGGCTTCATTTTCCCCTGCATATGAAATTCGAAAAGGGCTTTCATTGTTAGTACCATCAACAACACAATTATTGCAATATAAAATTTAACAGGGTTGTCTTTCTGAGCGTGCAATGTGGACTACCGCACAGAGCCCAAAGTTTGATATGTTTAATCCGTGATTAAAAAGAATATCATAAATATTTGTCACGGTTAAACCATGACACAATAGGACTCCTATTTGATTTGTCACACTTCAACTATGGTTAACCGGCCCAAAAGATAGCAACTTAACTGCAACTTAACTGCAACTTAACCGCAATTGCAATTTAAAACTATCAAACCCTTTTGTGCCTTTGGATTGAATTAATAATTTACCTCTGAGAAAACATTCATGGCATCAGAAAACCCTCTTTTGTTACCTAAAACAGCAGGCTTTGATTCCTCTTTTTGAGGATGCAAAGGAAAAAGAGGCTTTTCATCAAAACTTCTCAAACAAAGATCAGATGAATCCCTTTCAGGAGACACTGATCCAGGAAGTCCTAGCCTAAGCTCAGTAGCTTTAAGATTAAACTTTCTTTCAGCCTCATCTTCAAAAGATTGAATCTTTGGAACTGAACTATCCACTGATGATGAAGAATCACATGATAATCCCATGTAGTTAAACTCTTTTGGTTTTGAACCATTCAAATTCAAACACACACTTTTTTCCATTGTAACATTGCTTTCACCTTCATCATCCCCTATTCCTAGCCTTGGTAGAGACATCTCAATCACAACGAATCCAAACTTTCAAACAAGAAAAAAGCTTTCAATAACCTATCAAACAATAAACAACATTTGTCATTGTTCCAAAACCAACAACATTAAAAAACACAAACAAAAACAAAGGTTAATGAAGAAGAACTCGTGAAACAAACAAACTCATTAAAAAAATCACTTTTCAATCACCATTTAGCATAAAGACATAAACTTTTGTTAATGGGGTGAAATTTTTTGAAAAATGAAACTGACCCATTAAAGAGAAACTAATATTGTGTTAATGGAAGCAAAATTTGGAAGGTAAAGATGAAAAACTGTTACCTTCAATGAGCAAGATTAGAAAGATGAAGAAGAAGAAGAGTGAGAGTGACTAGAGATTTTGGTTGAGAGAACAATGAGAAAGAAGAGAAGAAACAAAACTAAGGACCCTCCATTTGGCACAAAGTAACATAAACTTGACACCATGAAATAAAAATTGATAAGACTTTAATTTAAAGAAAACAAAGTGTTTCAACAAAAACACTAGTCTTTTATTATGTCAAAACAAAAACACTATACTCAATTATGTAACTTTTATTTTGTTTTTGTTTTTGTTTTATAAAAATTGACCAACACTATCAAATTTTAAATACTATACTTACAAAATTACTTTCAATAGAATAAAATAATTTTTTTTAATATTTTTGTATATTAAGATTATTTTGTACATTTTTTAAATTGTGACATGCTTATACGATTACCTACCTAGTATGTAAGAAATCACATATACTACTAGTAGGAGATACATGAACATTTAAGTTCTTAGATTGGTGGTATTTGTAGTCAATTTGGTCCTAAGCTTTTTTTTCTTCGAATCCCTAGATCAAAAAATTTTCTTCCTCGATCCTATTTCAAGAATTAATATTGTGTGGGATACCTTTTAAATTATTTCTTCTGTCCGACTGATATTGTGAATCTTTATTTGGTTTTCCCTATAAATTTTTATTAACATTCATTTTAACAATAACTCTTTATTGACTCTTGACTCTTGTCTCATTTTCCCTTTATAATAAAAATTTATGAGACTGTTCATTGGATTTATTGCAATACAATTGTCCATTAATGAATACATCCATGTTAAAAGTTATTTTTTTTTTTTTGAAGTAATTTGTTCGACAGAAATATAGGAGTGTCGAAAAAATTTGATTTGATTTAGATATAAAAAAGATAAGATTTAATTCAGATCTAAAATAAATATATTTGATTTAGTTCCGAAATAGGTATTTTGAGTTTCATAGTTTTGGGCTTCGACTTAAGGAGCAATCTAACCTAAATCTATAAATAGATGGAGTAACACATGTTTTTGTAAGTCAAATCAATAAAATTGTATTTACAAAATTTTGTTGTTGCAAAGTGAATAATAAAGTTTTCCACATTTTTGAGTCTAAAATAAATAGATTTGATTTAGTTCCAAAATAGGTATTTCAGGCTTTCATAGTTTTGGGCTTTGACTTAGGGAGTAAGCTAAATTAAATCTATAAATAGAGGGAGTAACCCCTATTTTTGTAAGTCAAATCAATAAAATTTTATTCACAGAATTTTGCATTGTAGAGTGAATAATAAAGTTTTACAGTTTGTGGACATAGAGAAACTCTACAAAAAATTTTTTGTCTTATTTCTTTCATATTTTTTATTGTCATTATGTGGTGATACCAATCTTGTTCATCAAGATTGATAGAAATTCATCATGGGTTTTGGTGGATTTCCAACATCTGGTATCAGGAGCTCTAGTTGAGTGATTCAAGGGAAGAACTATCAAGAACGGCTGAGGAAGAAGAAGAAAAAATTCAAGATGGCGATGAATTACGCTAACAGAAATTTTCCAGCAAGTCTTTCAATTCTTAAAGGTGATAACTATGAGAATTGGTGGAAACAGATGAAGGTTATATTTTTTCAAGGTCTTTGGGATCTTGTGAAACATGGATTAGAACCACTAGATGAAGACGCTTCAAAAGAAGAAGAAGCAGAATACAGAAAATCGAAGAAGAAAAATTATAAAGCTCTCTTTCTAATTCACCAATGTGTCAGCCCAGACAATTTCGAAAAGGTTAGTGATGCAGAATCTGCAAAAGAAACCTGAAAAATCCTTAAGAAATCGTTTGGAGGCACTGAGAAGGTGAAAGAGGTGAAGTTAAAAACTCACAAAAGAACGTATGAATTGCTTCAGATGGAAGATAGTGAAAGCATGTCTAATTTCTTCACTAGAGTTACGAAACTAGTGAATCAAATCAAGACTTGTGGAGAGACGTTAACAACAAGAGTTGTTGTTTCGAAGATCTTAAGATCTGTGGCTCCGAAGTTCGACCATGTGGTAGTTGCCATAGAAGAGTCGAAGGACATGTCAACTTTGTCGAAGGAAGAGCTTCAAGGGATACTTGAATCTCACGAACAAAGAATGGATGAAAGAGCTGCAGGAAAGTCGAAGAATGATGTGGCTTTACATGCCCAATCAACAAAAGATAAGAAAGACAGAAGAAAGTGGTTCGACAACAAAGTTAGATGAGGCTACAACAATTCGATTGGTAGAGGAAACCATCACGAAGAAAACGTGTCAAATCAGAGAAGATCATACCAAGGCAACCAAAGAGTTAATGTTGCAAATAGCAAAAGAGGTGGTGGTCGAAAACCAGACAAGAGTCATATTTAATATTTCAATTGTCAAAAGTATGGTCATTATTCTAGTGATTATCCAGAAAAGCAAAAGAATCAAGAAAGTGATGTAATGTTTGAAAAATATGAAGAAGAAGAGATGATGTTGATGGTTATAACAAGAAATGAAGATATATTCAATGACCAATGGTACTTGGATTCTGAATGCTCATCACACATGTCTGGAAGGAAATATTGGTTTGTTAGCATAAAACCCTCGATGAAGAACACAATGAAATTTGCAAATGACAATACCCTAGAAGCTAAAGGTATTAATGATGTTATAATTATGAGGAAAGATGTTAAGAGGTCAGTAATTTCCAATGTGTTGTACATATCAGGCATGAAGAGCAATTTGCTCAGCATAGGACGGTTGGTCGAAAAGAATTATAAAGTTTTGATTGAAGACAAGATGATGAGAGTCGTTGACGCAAATGGGAGGTTAATCTTGAAGGCTCTCATGTCTCAAAATAGAACCTTTAAGATTGAACTTAATGTGATGGAGCACAAGTGCCTTTCGACTGCAGCTAGTAGAGATGAATGAATATGGAACTATTGACTAGACCATCTCAAGTTTAGAGACATCAGAGATTTAAAAAGAAGAAATATGGTTTCAAGATTTCCAGAAATTGACATTCTAAACGAGGTTTGTGAGGAATGTGTGCAGGCGAAGCAGCACAATAATAGCTTCATCAAGGATGCATAAAGCAAGTCGAAGGTTGTTCTCGAAGTCATAAACTATGATGTATGTGTACCAATCCAGGTGGATTTGTTTGGAGGTAACAAATACTTTGTCATGTTCATAGATGATTACAATCGAAAATTATGGACTTACCTGATCAAAAAAGAAAAGTGAAGTGATCGAGGTATTTGCCAAGTTTAAGTCTATGGTCGAAAGACAAAGTGGTCGAAAGCTCAAAGTTTTGAGAACTGGTAGTGGTGGAGAGTATGTGTCAAAGGATTTCGACAAATTATGTGAAAAAGAAAGGATTGTACATGAGGTGATTCCACCCTATACTCCACAGCATAATGGAACTGCAGAAAGGAAGAATCAAACCATCATGAACATGGTGACAAGTATGTTGAAAGTCAAGAATTTACCTAAAGAGTTTTAGAGTGAAGTTGTGTCAACTGCAACATACATTTTGAATATATGTATGACGAAGAAGCTAGAAGGAATTACTCCAGAAAAATGTTGGTCTGGTGTGAAGCCTAGCTTGAGTCATCTGAAGATATTTGGATCTATTGCACATAGACATGTGCCATATCAGGTGAGAAGAAAACTTGATGACAAGTCGATTCAGATGATCCTAGTAGAATATCATTCGACAGGAGGTTACAAGTTGTTCGACCCAGTGAACAAGAAGATTGTGATCAACAGAGACGTGATCATAGATGAGCTTAAAGAATGGGATTGGGATGAAAATGTTAAGAAAGATTCAGTTAGAATCTTACTTGAAGAACCAGAAACTCAAGTCGAAAGAGAAGTTCTACAAGAGGAAGTTAGACAAGAGGAGGTTAGAAACCAACCAAATACAAGAATACATCAAAGAATAAGATACATGCCTGCAAGGTTGCAAGATTGTGTGATTACATTAGATGATGTGGTTGATAATGAAGGTAAGCTGGTGCATTATGCTTTATATGTAGATTCCAAACCTGTCAATGCAGCTGAAGCATTGAATAATTCGAAGTGGGTGTAAGCAATTAACGAAGAAGAGAAGTCCATCGAAGACAACAACACTTGGTCACTTGTCGAATTTCCTCAAGGAGCAATTGATGTCAAATGGGTATACAAAGGAAAGATGCATCCCAAAGTGGAAGTAACTCGACACAAAGCAAGGCTCGTGGCGAAAGGATTTCTCCAGAAGGAAGGAATTAACTTCGATGAAGATTTTTCACCTGTGGCTAGAATCGAAACAATCAGGTTGGTTGTTGGTTTAGCATAAATAAACAGTTTGCACATATGTCAGATGGACGTGAAGTGTGCATTCCTAAATGGACCCTTAGACAAAGAAGTTTATGTTAAACAACCAGTTGGGATTGTGAAACATGACAAAGAGAGAAAGGTGTACAGGCTACATAAAGCCCTGTATGGATTGAAACAAGCTCCAAGAGCTTGGAATAAGAAGATTGATAGTTTCCTAATGGAGAAAGATTTTGTGAAGTGCACAATTGAACTTGGAGTATATGTAAGAATAAGAAATAGTAAATTGCTTATATTAAGTCTCTATGTAGATGATTTGTTAATAACAAGTAGCTGCAAGAAGGAGATCAAAGACTTCAAAGGTGATCTCAACAAGGAATTTGAAATGTCT